CACGAGGAGATGCCAAACCCTGGGGATGCTGCCCCCGGCATGAGCAGATGAGGGGAGTTTTGCTCCCTGCAGAGCACTTGGCTGGGAACTCGCACAGGGCAACCACACCGCAGGCCAGCCCGAGGCTTCCCTCGCCTCCCTGGAAAGGCGCCATTTGAAGCTGCTTTGGGTAATTGGCCATAAACCAACCTTGCCAGCAACCTCCTGAGCTCCCCGTGGAGCTCCCGAGACAGACACACTGTCTCTGTTCAGACACGTCCTCCCCCAGAGTGAATGGTCCCTGCACATCACCCCGGGGTCCTGCAAGTGGGGTACAGGGATCCCTGCCTGGTGTTCAGCTTTGGAGAGGGCACAAGGAGCCCCATGTGCTGAGCCCAGCAGGAACCCGCAGCCATGCTCGGCTCCCCGCAAAGTGCCCACAGTGCCCAGGCTGGTGGGTACGAGCCAGGATGTGCTAATGCAGGATTTCTCTGAGTAGAAGGGCAGATCCAGCCCACACCTCCCCACTGCCTCCCAGGAGAAGCAGCTACCAGGACCCTGAGAAGGTGAGAGGTCAAGCCCTTCTGCTCCCGGGTGCATCTCAGCAAACAACTCAGTCAAAAATCTCTTTACAAACCGATTTCCACACTTGAAGAGGCTGAAAACTTCAAAGCCTGGAGTGAAAAAATAAAAAAACCCAAAAACCTACCAATAATAATAATAATAAACGATGCTTCCCAGCCCGTCAAGCCTGCAGCACTTCCAGCATGACTAATATTTTCCATGTGAAATAATAATTCACGGCGCTAAATTTCTCATCTCTATGCACACTGCAGACAACAGGTGGGCTCTGCCCAGATTCACCTCTGAGCAGGACTTTTATAAGGCAGCTTTTCACTCTCATCATGGGGAAAATAATAAACACCCAGGGTACCTGCAAATAAGGAAGGTCAGATTCCAGCCACAGAGCTGACAAAGCCCCGAGTCCTCAGAGCAGGATGCAAAATCCTTTGTTTGACAGCAGATCTTACAGCAAATCCTCCTGTGCAGCCATCCCAGATTGCAGAGGTGACGGAGTGGTCAAGGCCACCCAGCACCCTCCTGGGGCAAGATCCATCCCCAGGCTCTGGGTCACCCCCTGCCCTCACCCCGGTGGGACAGTGGCCAAGACATGAAAACCTTCGCTTTCACAGGGGTCTGACCCCACAAAGCAGCACTTCCAACCCCACACAGCCCCACCACGCTGTCCCTGGCCACCTCCAGCCCCACGCAACGTCCCCCAGCCCCTGGGAGAGGCTACCAGGAGATGCTGAGTGTGCAGACACTGAGCCAAACTGAGAGAACAGAATAAATACATACAAATGCTCTTCATTTAGTTTGACAACAATTCACGGGTGCCTGCAGCTTTCTTTCAAAAAAAATCAGCCCTGAAATGGGCCTGGAGCTTTCCCAGGGAGATTTTCTCAGCAGGATGTGACTGCAAAGCCTTAACATGGGCATGCAGAGGTTAAAATCAAATAACAGCACCTCTGCAGGCAGGAGCCCAGCGAGTGAGTTATGAAGTTAGTGACAAAGCAGGACCACGCTCCTCACGGGCTATTCCAGCCCAGGCTCCCTATAAATCACGCGTCAGTCACTGCTGGGGTGATGGATGAGTGCAGGGCACACGCACAGGCGATAGGTTTTGGTGGGTAATAACTCTGCTGTGAGCAGCCACCAGACCTGTGGTGGGGCTGAGGCATGGGGGTCCCCATCAGCTCCCCGGGAAATCGTCACTGGGATGGGGAGGGATGCCTGGGGTGGCCCCAAAGGGACAGGAAGGGACACACATCCCCCTCCAATGCCGGGCTCAGCAACCTGCCCGTCCCCCTGGGGTCCTACCGTAGGGTCTTGCGGATCATGTCCTCATCGGTGATGCCGTAATAGGTGAGTGTCTCGTTCCAGGTGGGGTTCAGTGTGTTCCGCAGCGTTTTGGTTCTCAGCTTATTCGCCTGGAAAAGCAAAGGAGATGGCAGTCAGTGGGACCCAGCCCCAGGTGATCATTTGGGCACTGATGGGGAGAAAAGGAAGCAGAGTTTGGAGATTAAGGGGCAATCGGTGCTGTCACTGTTCCGCCTCAGTGTGATAACCCAGCTGGTCCTCGATGGGGTGGCCCAAATCCACCCCGACCACAGTGATAAGCAGCAGAGCACAGACACATGTACTCACTGGCTCATTTGCAAAGCAACCCAACCCCACATCCCGCGTGCTGGAAACAGCCAGCGAAATGGGAACCTTGGCAGAGCGCAGTGAGAGGATGGGATTTCATTTCTGCAGCAGGAGAGAGAGAGGGAGAGGGAAAAAATGTCTTTTCAGGTTCATTAAAAAATACTAATTTGCTGTTCTGGCTGTTTATTTGCATTCCAGCACAGCTCCCGTTCCTGCCTGACTCAAAATAACTTCCTTGATACGCGTTTTGTTAGCACTGGCAACTCCTTCCAGCACCGCAGCTCTGCAGAGTGGGAGGCTGGAGAGAGCAGGGCTGTCGCAGCCGCTTGTGTCCCCAGCATGGATGGGACATCCTGGCACAAATCCACCCCTCAGGATGAGGGACATTAATTTTCTTACCCTCTGAGCCACCCACATCTGTTGGGGACAGAGGGAGAGGAGAAGCAAAGGGCTGTAGGCTTCAGATGGAGCTTCTCCATCAACCCCCAGCCTGGGACAGCCAGATAGAGCAGCAATTTTCCCTCTAATTAGGTATAAAGTCAGAAAGTTCAATCCCTGTCTCAGCCACTGCTGGGCGTAAGGAACTCTCAGGAAATCAATACTTCAAAGTTGTCTCGTGGTTCTTTATGGGAAGCTGCTACATTCCCCATCTCTGGTTCACCAGACCTGAGTCAGAGGCGAGTGGCATGGGAAGCATGAGGGGAAGAAAAGAGCTCGTGCTTGCAGCTAAGAAGGGCAAGTCCTTTCCCCACCAAAACCACCCCAAACACACAACCTCTTCCAGATCAACCAGACATGGCCACTGGCTGGAGGAGCTGCTGGTGCAGCAGAGCCATTGAGGGATCACTTGTCTCACTCCCAAAGGCTTTGTGCAAAGCAGGTGCTTGCTCTGGGTGGGATCTCCTGGAGGCAGAGAAAGTCTCTGTATTTTGTGTTTTCATTTAGTTTAGATTTCATTCATGGACTGCTGTTACCATTGATTTAATACTTTGTTTTCCTTAAATCTTTCCCAACTTTGTAAAGTTTGCTTTGAACAAGGCACTTTATCATCTCACACCTATTTTATCTCCTTCCTTGGTGATATTGTGGCCACCACACCAGGCTCCAGCTCAAGCAGCGAGATATGTATCAGAGAGGGAGCCTAAAGCCAGCTGGGGGTGACAAGGACAGCAGGGAAAGCGCCCTGATGGCATCCACTGCCTGTTCAGACCTGTGGGGCCAGATCCTGGGGTTCTGGGGGTGTCAGGAAGGAAAGTGGGTTTAGCCCACTTTTAGTGATGGGCACCACCCAGAAGCTAACACTGCCCTGGGCAAGGGGCCCAAATTACATCAGAGGAACTGGGCTCTGTGAGCGCCTTTTTCTCCCATCTGGAGTGACTGAACAGTCAGTAACGAGCTCACATGGAGATCTCTGTGTGAGGCCAACGAATCCCACCCTGCTTCCCACCAATCTGGCCTGGGTTCTACTGGAGCTGCCTGAGAGCCCAGGGACAGAAACACCCAAGGGACTTGGGGACTGTCCTGCTGCTGGAACGACTGTGCAGAAACACCCAGCCCAGGACACATCCGTGATCCCCCCATGTCTGCTCACCTCTCCCAGAACAGATTTGGGCAGTGCTGTTTGGGAACAAGGCACACAGACAGAGCAACCGCAGAGGCAGAGGGACATGGGGACAAAGAGAGGGTGCTCCAGGCTTGTAGAGTCTGAAGCTCCTGTGCTACCCTCATCTCAGAGCTTCCCTCCTGCCTCTCTGGTCTCCATCACCTCCAGCAGAAATGCTAATCAATGCATGTGCAAAACATGGAAATGACAGATAATATCGCTGATGAAAGCGCTCCTGGCTCTCCTATTTCCAGCAGAACTTGAAAAGTGGTTAAAAACTCCCTCTACCACCCTAAACATTATGAATTAATTCAACTGAACCATAACAAGTAAATATACCTCCCCCAAAAAGGTCTTCCCTTTAGTGTAAAATAAAAGTGCAATTAATATTCATAACACATAGATTTAGCATTTAAATTCAACATCCCCATCAGTTACACCAAGCTCTCACTACACATCAATATCTTTAATTACTCTTCTCTCCAGCAAGCGCTGAGCCTAAGTAGATGGAAATATTTCCCTTACGATTTACACTGTGCTTTATTATAATCTGAGGGGTTTTAAATGCAAAAGAAAAAGGGAAAAAATAAAAGAGCTGGTTAGTTTACAGCTCCTGATCATTTCACTCGGGGGCTTAGGGGGGCTTCTTAAGCACAGCATTCGCACCCCCTGCTCCCAGGGGTGAGGAGTCAGGGCTGGTGCCCGGTTCCTGGGTAGTGGTTTATTGGAGAGGCACTTGCTACCCCTGCAAGGACGTTTTTAGCCCCAATTCTTACCTCCTGCTGCCACTCTCTCCTCCTCACCTGAGTGAGAACCAGGCAGGAGGCTCGAGGTTGGGCTGCAGCAACCAGCAGTCCTTGGTGAAGAGCTTCTCCTTAGGGAATTTTCCAGGTGTGAATTCAAAGGGAAGGGACAGCCCCAGGAAGGGTAGGAGAAGTGGAAATGTGTCTCACCTTACTGGCTCCGGGAAGCAAGTGCAATTTGACGTATGGATCAGCCAAACCATTATGGTCCATCGGCTTCAGGCCCTGGAGAGGAAAGAGCAGAAAGCAGGAGTGAGGCCAACAGCAGGATGCTGGGCAGGCAGGGTGGCTTCTCTGAGCCCATCTACCCACCCCCGGGATGTCATCGGTCCATGGAGTAATTGCACAATGTCCCCGGGTTGGGGAAGGAGGAGAGTATGGTTGGTGCAGGATCCGGGCTGCCCAGCAAAAGCTGAGCACACTCAGCGTTCAAACGTCGCCTGTGGTTTGTGCCGAGGAGGGGCTGTGGGAAATCTTCTCATCTGCACTTGGCATCGGCCGCAAAGCACCTCTCTGCTCTTCCAGCAGCTGCCTCTGACACCCTGATCACAATTAATTTGGGGGTTAAGTAAATCAGCGCAGTGATTCTCAAGATTTTAAAATTACAGGGTTTTGTCATTCAATAATTGCTTATGAGCAAACATACACCTCTGCTGTTGTGGTGTTACTTCTAAGTGCTCCCAGAGGGTGTGATAGCACCTACCTACTCCTCGTTATTAAGACATAGCTGAAGGAAGAACAGCTTTCAGGGCAGCAGGAGGCTGTTGCCAGCCGACAGCTGCAGTGTTTGCAGGGAAACCTTGGGATACAGGAGCACAAATGCAAAGAAACACTCACTGCAGCCATCCCTGATGGATATTCTATGAGACCCTCACAGCTCTGAAAGGATGGCACGGATCATGTTTGTTATAGAGATGCTCTGGAGTTGATCTTGCTTCAGGCAGAGAGAGGAGACAAACCTGCTCTTCTTCTGAACAACCAGTGGGCTGAAAATTATCCAAGGGTGATGCACAAACCCAGCCCAAAGCCATAACTGCACAGACTGCATGGGGACAAACTCCATGAAAAATGGAGCCTGATTTTTACCACTCCTAAGTGGAAATGATAACGGTTATACCATGAAAGCACCTGGATTATTTCCAGCCTGGCTGCGGCATCCCTGCTAGAGATATTTCCAGGCTGTCTGAAGGCAATCCTCAGCCTGGATCAGAGGAGGGTTTCTCTGCAGAGGTACCCACCCAGCCCCAGCTCCAGCCCAGGCATGGAAACCAGGCTGGGTGATGCTAAAGACTCATCATACCCTTTTGTGTGATGAGCAGAGTATTTGGTGCCTGGGATGAATGACTGAGTGCAGCTGCCAGGGATCCACCTGGCAGGAAAACATTTGGATGGGCTGCTGGTGGAAAGGCTGAGTGTAATGAAAATATAATGATGGAGGCCCGGGTTTGGGCAAATCAAAGAGGGAAATGTTGGGGTAAAGAGCTTTACATGTGTGAAATAACACACCCAGCTGAGCACACCCAAGGCAGCCCCTCAGCACGCTCCCGTACCACCCCTCCCTGATTTCCACAACTTGGTCGAGGGATAACTTGGTCAAGGGTCCAAGCTGCTCCTGCCCTTGGTGAAGGTTCTGCTTCGGAGATGAGTGTGCTGCCCTGGGGAGAGGGAGACCAATGGTGCTCAGCAAAAGGGATTTTGCTTCTAAAGCAGAGACAAAATAATAAAAATATCAGCAGCAAATGCAGGCAAAATGGCTCTGCTTTACCTGCAGCGCCTCTCGGGTGATGTCCCTGGCCCAACCAAAGAGCAAGGCAGCAGATAAGGAGGATGGGAGGAAAGTGGTGGTATCAGCTGCAGGTCCATGGGCAGAAAGGGCAGCAAGGGGGTGGTAGCTGGGCTCCAGAGCAGATCTGTCCGGCTGGGCACACAAACTGCTCAGAGCTGAGCAAAGCGAAGGCTCCCCACCTCCCCACAGCCTCCCCCAGCGCAGGTGCCCACCTGCCCGATGCTGCGCGGCAAATGAAATCAGAAGCCAGCGAGCAAATTCCCATGAAAATGGATGGAGAAAGACAGGCAGCTCTGTAATTCACCCATCAATTCTGTTCAATTAAATTACCTTCTGAGGAGGCTATTAAAGGCTTTTTTAATAAATGTGCTATGGAAGATGCAGTGACAGGAGCCTGGAAAATGGCTCCTAATGTCACATCTACCTCCCTCCCATGTCACTCGATACCAGTTTGGCACAGGGCTGAAGTTAACATGAGATCAGCCCCGATGCTCTGCCCCGCAAAGGTGCTCCCATGGGAGCTCACTCCTCCCAGGCGACCAGCACCGCTGCTTCTCCTGTACAGAGGGATCTCCAGCTTAAAGCTGCTCCGAGGGAGCTGAGAGGCAGAGGAGGAGCACAGGGTTCATACATGTGGGCTGAGTCTCCCATTGGCTTCAGCCAGCGTAGCCCCAGCTCCAACCAGTCCTCTTGCCAGGACTAGTTTATGGTGCTGTGCATCACGGCACGGGTGATGGAGCCGAGACTTGAGTTTCATGTTTTCCCTTCCTCTACCCGACCCCAAAATCCCTGCTGCAATCCTACAGAGACCAACAGCCCCGCTGCATCCCAGCTGCTGCCAGCTGCTCTCCGTGCCAGTGACATTTAGCTAATCAATAGGATTTAATTACCAGTCGGGCTAATCGGGCTGCCGATTAATGCCACGCCAGAGGCACACAGAAATCACAGGAGATGGATTCGTTCCATCATTTGCTCCATGATGAGCTGCCTGCCTGGTGAGCCGGCTCCCCACTGCCCAAACCCAGCCTGGATACCCCTTCCCAGGCCGAGGTATCCCATTCTGAAATGGGGCAAACTCTGCGCTTCCACCCTGACAGCCCAGAGGAGACACAGCTTGGAGACAGGAACCTCCCTGCAGCGATAAATGGTTGTAAGTAAATCCATAAGCAATGCTCAGTGCAGACCTCCAGCACTCGGCTTCGGCTGGAAGCGGGGAAGCATTCAAATGCTTGGCAGG